CGGAATGCTGGGAAGAGTTTGTGTTTCTTAAAGATTGTAAACGCGATGGTGTCAGTGAGAAAGATGTGTCTTCTTCTGTGTCTACGACGGAAAAAAATGTGTCGTCTGAGATACCTTCTGCTGTTCCTATTGTACACTCTAGTCATCAGAAACCCTACTGAAGAGGCCTTGACAGGCGAAATGCATTTGGGGTGAAGTATATATTTATATAGAAATAAAATTATATTTTCTTTGTTAACCTGTTTACCTTTTTTAATTTTTTATACCAGTCTACGGACTCGGGACTTATTAAGCCTCCAAAGGTCAGAAACGAATGGAAAACTAGTAGTTTTCCGTGTACTAAAGATTAGTACAGTACGGTAATAATAATAAAAAAATAGATTATCTGACTCCATCGATTCTTTTTAGAATATTTTTATAATAATAATCAATATACTTGAATACTTGAAAGATGCAGAATTAGATTTATGCAGCCGAGTGTGTACCAAATGCAAAGATATCAGCGTAAACATGATGTATCACCGAGTAACAATGATCATAAGGGTAATTATTGTAACATTATTCTTTTGATTAAATGCTATGATTATGTAATTGCTACAAACGCTCAAAATTCCATATTCGATTAACATTTCTAAGTTACGGAATTCAGTTTAGAAAATATTAATTACGGAAATGGCGAATTGTACTTTCTGTTTTTGGTAGAGTTTGTATGATTTGTGCATAAAATTGTGAGTTCTCTCTTTCTGAATCTCTTTCTGAATTTGTAGATTTTTCAGTCATCAATGGATTTAGTGCTGTGTCTTTCCTTAGAGTTCCTTTCTCTACGTCAGGTGTTTTTTCATTTGTCTTCATTAAACTTCAATTTCATCAATAAGATAACGATGTGTAGCTTTTAATAGACGATTTAGACTGTCAGTTTAAGGATGTAAGTTTTTATGTTTTTTACGCAAATGGCGTAAAAATATAGTTTTTTGGCACCAATATAAGTTTTACGACATCCTCATATGTTATTTAAAGTTGTAATTATGTTTCTGATTTTAAAAATGTTTAATGAAACGGCGATAATTGACTATTGTTTTAATTTCGTATTTGTTGAAATTTTAATTTTAAATTTAAAAAATTCGATCAGTTAAGCAGATTTATTGTATATTTATTTGTAGAAAAGTTCATAGTTTAAAAGGATCTGAAAAGTTTTTATAAACATTAACGTCAATACATTTATACAATACTTTTAGAATAATTGAATTGCAGTAAAATAAGTTTTCATTAATCACATTACGTAAGTAAATTTACATTTGCTGTAAATATTCTGATTTATTTAAACAGAAAATTCCTTTCAATGTAATAATCACTGCAATCAACGAATCGGAAGATCTACGTCCCTACGTTGGTTTCGACGACAATTTTCAATACAATTGGTTCGTTTTAGGACATGAACCCAAACCTACGACTCCATCTGCATATGATCTTAATGAATCCGGAGAAACTACACTTGCGTCTATTCCAAGTCCTAAGGGTATGTACTTTAAGTTTTTATTGCATCGTAAGTAGCTGTACCATGCAAATTTGAAATTATTATTAATTGTTAATAACAATCACATTTTTAGTTCCAGGAAACTCTGTTATAACGTGCAGGAAAAAGGTTTCTAAGTACTCAACCGACAAAATCGAAATACAAATATCAATGTTTCCAAACATTCCAGGTTTTAATATTTTTAATCATTTGTTCACTCTACGTGGATTCAAACCTATACTTTATCACAAGCCAGATTCGATAAAGGAAATAGAAGATGTATTCCACAAAATTAATATACCGGACGAACAAAACAAGTGCATAATCTTTTAGAAAGATATTACAGTATATTCGTTCGGAACTAAACATTTCATGGACTACTGTGATGTATACAGGCTCACACTATTTCATGGTGAGAAAGTCAATGCTTTTCCTGTTTATATTTATAAAGGTAAAACTGGTTATACGACTATCAAAGAGCAATTGGAAAAACTGAAATATTGTGAACTGAAAATGGTACAGAAGAGATGTTTCGCATATATTTTTTGTGACGAGTTTACAGAGTGGATGGATTCAGCAACTCGAGCATTTAGCGAAGTGTTTCCTTTAGTGAAATACGTTACTCATAACTTTTTACCGTCCTATTTATCAATTATCCCAAGCGAAAAAAAGTATTTTAGTGTAGAGCAAAACTATTTGTTTCTCTGCTCTACAATAATGGTTTTTGTGTGGTGGGGATAAATTTATTGTATTAAACTGGTTTAGTTATAATTTGAAATTTAATTGTCTTTGGATGATAGTATTATTCTACATCAGAGGTTTCAATTTTATCCGCAGGTAGACCACACTAAAAGTCTCAGTACTTTTCGATGGGCCGTTCAAGTTGATTTTTTTCTTATTAAAAATGACAAAATAACTACGAATGAGTTTTACTGACACCACAAAATTCTATAAATTGACGAATATGTAATCACTGTTTTTTATTGTAATACCACATTTTTAATCACGATTAATATAATTTTAGCTAATGGATGTAAAACATATCAATACCATAGATTTTTTGAAATTTACTTTTCATAATTATGTAAATTTTTGAAGGTTTTAATTAACTTTGCCGAGAATCATTTCTGCAATCGAAGACTCCTAATTTTCATTAGAATCAGTGAACGTCACATCACCGTCACAAGGTAAACGGCTCATCAGAATGACAGGTGTTCGTATGTGGATGTTGGTATTACAAAAAAAGAAAATGGCTAACTTATTGACAATGTATAACTGGGCGAGTTGTTTGTTTACACACGGAAATGCCAATTTCTAAATTATCAAAGCATTTACTTCGTTAAAATGAGTATAAAATTTACAGTAATAAATATACTGAGATCGATGGGATTTTTATATATAAAGTATAATATAAATTAAACGCCTTTATATAAGGAGTAGAAAAGACGGTCTTCGAAACACTATTATGTATGGCTTAGAATTAGAAAACCAATTGTAACATATTTAATGAATGACATGACATGGACAAAGTTTACATAACGTTACAGAAATTAAATTATCATTAGGTAAAGAATATTAAAGTCAATTGACAAAAGTATCCGTTGAATATGCAATAAATTTGCAAAAAGTGTAGATGTGGGGTTTTAGGAAGGGAGTCCAAAAGGGGACGAAAAGTTACGTTACGTCGCTTTACCCGTGATCTGTCAGGATGACACGAGAAAGCCTTTTCCGTATGGGGGTCGCGGTTTGCTGGACGCAAAGACTCACACAGAGACCGTATTTCCACAGTTAACGCGTTTATTTGGATTAAAAAACATGCTTACAATGAGTTACACTTGTCGGATCTTCGATAGGCGTCCGTCCAAGACAGTTCGTCGAATTGTCCGTAGGTTCGAGGTTCGTCACACACACCAAAAATCCCGGGAGGAGAAAGTTCGTCTCCTCACCCGCCGTGGAGGTCTCGGAAGTTTCGCTGTTCCCTGGAGCTGGAATCCTTAGTCCTCTTCTTCGGAAAAATCTCGGAGTGGATCCGTCCTCGGGGACTGTCAAAGTTCCTAACAGCTTCTCAAACTCCCAACCTCTCCGTGTCCTTGGGACCTCGGGCTTTTATAATCTTTCCTCACCCGAAATCCCGAGGTTTTGGTTGGTCCGAATGTTGGTCCCTCTGCGCTTCTATTGGTCCCGGGTCTGTTGCCAGGGACGCGATTCGGGCCGAGGGGTCGCCGAGATGACCCCCGTCCGGGCCGTTCTCCTCCGGAGTCGGGTCAAGCCCTCTCCCGGATGACGGTCTCGTAAATTGTCACCTAATGTCTATTTTTCGGTCCCGGAGAGGAGGAAGCTGTCTCAGCCGCCGCCCCCTCCACAGGAGTGTCAGCAGGACCTGCTTTGAACTC